ATAGGTACCACCTTGGCGGGAAGATAACTGCGCTTCATGCAGTCATCCTGGCCATATGACCTTGGAGGCTTCTATGGACAACACCGGCTCTTTGGCTTAGAAATGGAGATGAGGACCACCCCTCAGAGTCGGACATTACTAGACTTAATGTCAAGGGGAAGCCTTTACTTTTACTTGTCATTCACAAAAAGTAATGAGAGGAAATGTGTAATTAAATAGAAAATTCCAAGTGGGCATGGTTAGCATGGTGGCGAGGGTAAGGGAAGGAGTTTTGGGGGGGTTTTTTGGACATCATACCTTCCATTGGTCCCAGTTTGGCAGAGACAGTCCTGATTAATTTTCTGCCATGCCACTTTTTTGCCTACTTTTAAATGTCTCAGTATCCTTTTCATCTGCCCACTTCTGCCCTTTTGGCCTCAATTGCTACTCCTCAGCAGGCTGAGGAGAGGAAGTGGCAAAAGCAAACAGCCATAACTTAGCCTTACCCATTAATAACTTTTGCTCTCTTGACCACACTCTGATGTCACTTGCCCTCATGTGTCCCATTTTTCATCTGTGAAATATTCTAGGGCATGTGACACAATGTCTGCTCGGGCCATGTCACAGGTGCTCAATTGGCTAAGCAGTCTCCATCATCTCATACATTCTGTGTCTATACGGCTACAAAGAATAAGGATGCATGGGGTTAATACAGAAGGCGGCCATATAGTCCACCACAACCTATTACACTGGCATCCCCTTTGAAGGGCTCTTTCTTGCTGCCTTCTCTGGAAACCAATTTGTGCAACTAATTGTCTTTGTCATGGTTCTCCATAGTGCTATTTATAAAGTTTTGATTGCCATACATACCATGTTCTTAAGCCTGTGAAAAAAATCCAGTCCACTCATGGGGATAATGACAGGCTTGAAGTCAATAATAGGAAGCCAGCCAAAGGAAATTGCAAGCTATTTTATACAGTGTATTTTGGGGCAATTATTCTCAATTAGCCAAGGCCTCAAGGTCAACTCAGATGTACACAGAGACTTGAGACATAAGCCTTTGAGTGGTGACTGCCCAGTTCATCCACTGCATCTACAGTCAGCCCACCACATTTGCTGAGGTTGGGGACACAGGCTCCTGTGAAAGTGAAAAGCCATGCAGAAAGAAATTGCTATTTTTTAAAACCAAAAATTTCCCTTTGAATTTGTAGGTCTTCCAGCATGACTCTATGGTTATTTTTTGCTGGAAGCTGAACATAGGTAAAGGTAAAAGTTTTCCCCTGACATTAAGTCCAGTCGTGTCCGATTCTGGGGGTTGGTGCTCACCTCTATTTCTAAACCAAAGAGCCGGTGTTGTCCGTAGACACCTCCAAGATCATGTGGCCAGCATGACTGCATGGAGCGTTGTTACCTTCCCACTGGAACAGTACCTATTGATCTATTCACATTTGCATGTTTTCGAACTACTAGATTGGCAGAAGCTGGGGCTAACAGCGGGTGCTCACGCCGCTCCCCGTATTCAAACCTGTGACCTTCCTGTTAGCAAGTTCATCAGCTCAGTGTTTTAATCCAGTGCACCACCACTGGCTACTGAAAGCTGAACATAGAATTGCATTAAAGGGCCCAGAGATTTAAGGAAAGATGTTCTCTCTAGAAAACTTTAGGTTCTCCAGCATGACTGGAAGACACTGACCATAATGTTACTCATCAGGCAGAGAAAATAGCTCCCCAAATTCAATGGCAGGTTTAAAAAGGATATAGGTGTTGCTTGGATCATGAGTTTACTCAGGCTTACAGTAAAGCAAAAAAGAGAGGAAAAAACAGAACACATGCACGTGAGTACCAACCTATCTTGTATAGGTAGGTTAATGGCCGACATTATATAGTATATGTTATTTCTACCAGTTAGCCTCATTACATGGACCTTTTTGACTAATGAGAGGGGAGGGGATATGGCTTTCTTTATTCTCATCATTTCCTGTTTCTAACTATGGGCATTACCTTATGTAATAGCAAAAGCATGTATGGTAACCAAGGATAGCTAGAGCCTAGCCTTTCCATGTATATGGACATAAAACTTCATTTTAGATCTTTGCTCTCAATAGAGTCATACTGGAGGACAAAGAGATTCCTAGGAAGAATGCTTTTAATTAAATAACCATGTCTACAAAAGTCAAAATTGTAAATGTGGAGGGACTTTTGTACTTGTATGCTCAGCAGGATTTCATTGTGGACACTGCTGATTCTTACTGAGCTCTGCCAGTTTTAATAATTGTACGTTCAATTTTGTTTTAATACCTATATTTTGTAGGTTTTTAAAAATGTATTGTTTTTAAGGTTGTGACCTGATTTGGGTCTCAGTCAAGAGACAAAAGCAGGGTTCAAATAAATATACTTTATATGATATATAAAGATAATAATATGGTCTAATCTCTTGAGACTGCAAAGAAAGGAAACAGCAGAAGAGAATAGATGTCTCTTCTGGAAAACTAGTGGCAAATTCACAGCAGAGGAATCAGAACATGTATAATCCCTACCATACTCTAATGCCATTAAGAGTGTAATGGCATTAGAGTGTAATGGCATGGGTCAAGTTGGGTGAGGATAAGAACACACATTTCCTACCTCTGCGATAGTAGAAAGAATAACAGATCAAAGACAATAGTTACTGGTGGAAAACATGGTCCTTTGCACATTGCAGGATTGTTGTTCTTATAAACTCCAGCCAACACAGCCCATAGGGGGGGATGATGGGAGCTGCAATCCAACAACATTGGGAAGACCACTCATTCCATATGTCCAAACCAGAAGATATAATAACAAGGTAAGGGTCTAACGATTTTTGTATTCTTATAATTGCAGAAAATACTATATAGTTATTTCTTCAGTGCTCATTTATTGTCAGTTCTCATATAATCCAAAGTATATGCTTTACGAGGATTATGCTTTTTGCCTGGAGATAACTACTGAAGACCATTTATCTGCAATCAGCACATGTGCTCTACAAATGAATCACCATTTGCTGCTTCCTTTGTCTTGCAACTTCCTCTGTCTGAAGAATGTGATGCTGTCACTGGGCTTCACAATGGAATCTTGGACAGATTAGAGGTAAACAGCATTGGCTCATCGATGTAATTATTGATTTGCTTCTCTATTAAATGGCAGGCAAAATATGAAAGAGGTCACTGTTGCTCAGTGGTGGCAAAAGTGACATGCGAAAGGAATACACTTGGACTTCTACATTGGGAAGTTTTGCAGATCTGATTATTTGCAGATTTGATCAATATGTTATCCCTAGGAATCCAAAATCCACAACCCCTTCAACTCTATAGTTGACTTCCACCAATCAATCCAGGGGCATACTAAAATTCAGGCAATTTATTTTTTGGAACATGTGTCAGAAAATCCTACAAACCCCTTTATCCCTTATTCCCAAGAGGAATGCGCATCAAGCCAGCCCTGACCAGGACTTCCTTCCACCTGGAAACCAATGTCCTCACTGTGGAAGAACATGCGGATTAAGAATAGGGCTCCACAGTCACCTACTTATCCACTGCCAAGACACTACACTTGGGAGGCCCTCCTACTCAGGCAATGAGGGATCACCAAAGTAAGTAAAGTAAGTAGGTAAGCATGGCAGAAAGAGGTTGAACTGGAAGGCCCTTGGGGTCTCTTCCAACTCTTTGATTTTATGATTTGATCAGTCGACATGCATCTTCTTGGAAAACATTAACAATGAAAGAACAATTTTCTGATGGGAAAACTCACCTCCCTCCAACCAGTTTCACCCACTGCAAACTCCATCCTGCAACTCCATAGTGAGGTGATTCTGCCTAGAGGGCCAGTCATATGCCAATAAAAATAATAAAAATCTGGACTTTCTGTAAAACTGTGGGATAAAATGCAAGATTTTTTAAAAACAGGATTAAAGCCCAGAAAATTGTATTGCAAGCAAACAAGAACAGCATATGTCAGGATTGCAACATCTACAACGTTGAATAAGATGTTTGAATAAGATAGCTCAGGTTGACAGCACCTAGTTGTGTGATAAACCACACCTACCAAAAAAAACCCTTTTGGTACCTGCATTAAAGATATAGGAACCCTAACCCTCTCACTTTCAGTCTGGCAACCTTAAACAAACATGCAAAATGAGTCTCACTGTATATAGAAACTGTGCGTGGAATAAGACATTTTCAAGAGAGAATATTGTCTACGATACTTTTATTTCAACAAATACAAAAATCACAGTTAATTGTATAAAATTATAAAGGAAATAAAAACTTGGTATAAGAAGAATAAAAAAATCTGTCACTAAAAAAGTGTTTCATTGTAATTATTACAAATTCAAGAGTTAATACTCTTCATTTTCACATAATCTATATACTTGACTGCCTATACAGCAAATGTTATTTGGTTCTAATCTGCCATTTATGACCACCTTTGCTAGGTTTGAAATGGGCAAACTTTTTCCCACCTTTAAATTGTCTCTTTTTCCTTTCCTTTACATGGCACATGCATACTGAGCTCAGGGAAAGGTTACAAAGCAAATAGTGTACAAAAACACATACATTTCTGCTTGGTCATTGTAGAGAAGCGGGCTGGACCAGTAACAGCAAGATAGGAAAAGCAGGGCAAGGAAGAGCCATTAATCTTATGCTGCCTGATTTGGGTAAGTAGCGAGGAGGAGCAAGATAACAATGCCAAAGGAGGAAGCTCAGGAAGTAGATGGGCAACCATAAGATGGTAAGGTTGGTGGAATCAGATGGAAAAGACAGACAAAGTTGGGTGGCATCAGTATACTGGTGACACCACACCCCAAAACTGAAGATGCCATCTCCCAAAAGTTTCATATGCTGATAAATAGCATGCTGGACAAAAAAAATAAAATAAAATAAAATCCTGGGGAACTTCCCAGTCTAACAGCCAGGGCACAAAACAAGAGTCCTCCAGCATCATCATCTGGTTCTGCCCCTCAAAAAAGAAAAAAAAGAAAAAAAAAGAGAAAAAAAAGACCAAAGCTATTCCATAAAGCATATTTCAAAGAGATTGAGCTGATTTGAAGCATCTATTATCTTGAAATTTGGTTTATCATTTTGAAACACTGTGTAGTACCCCCAAAATCCCATCCCAGAGAGCATATCCAGAAGGGTACTGTGGTCAATGGCATCTAAAGCCTGACAGGCCCGGCAAAATCAGCAGGGATAAACTCCCTCATCCAGTTCCCTACATAGGACATCAACCAAAGCAACCAAAGCTGTCTCTAATCTGTAACCAGGCCTGAAGCTTCTGGAGCTCCTTGGAGATGAAGTCCCACTTGCTAGTACCCTGCCCCAAAATGAAAGATTGGAAACTGGCCAGTAATTGCTCAGAATAGTGGGTTCTGGGGAGGTCAGTTCTTTTCTTGTGGGCCAGAGTATATAAGGCTCCTGATCATTTGAGACAGGTTATGGGATAACACTATTCTATGCTGTCACTCTAGTCTTTGTTCCACTCACTTCACAGCTGCCAGCTCCCTAGTAAAACAGGAAGTCCACTTGGCTCCACTTTGTGGGATGCTTAGGAGAGATTGTATCCACTACCATGGGCATTTCCCTATTCCAGAGATCAGCCAGGGTTTCAACATGATCACATGCCATAAATCTCCTGGGGCATACTGTTTTAGTTACCCCACCCCATCTCTGCAGAGGCTCCAAATCCTAGCAAGTCTAAGCCCCACCAAGGAGGGACCGGTCCATGACAACAGAACTACAGAAAGTACCTCCACACCCAGATCATCACCGTCATACTTCCCAGAACAGAAAACCAGTCCGAGAGTGTGTCCTACAACACGGGTGTCAACAGATATTACTTGGGATAGCCCCATGGTCATTTTGAAAGACATAAAATCCTTAGCTGCCCCTAAGAGAGCAAGACTTGGAGACTACAACATTACTATTTAGACCAGTTCAGGGAGACATCTGAACAATAGAGAGTTGAGGAGCCCCACTCATAAGTACACTGCCCCAAAAAGAATCCCCATCTTGTCCTAATCAGTGATCCCCCACTTTCAAAAGCACGCACTCTTCTTTTAAAAAAAGCAATTGATGATAATGGGTGACTGTGAGTTTTCCGGGCTGTATGGCCATGTTCCAGAAGCATTCTCTCCTGACATTTTGCCCACATCTATGGCAGGCATCCTCAGAGGTTGTGAGGTCTGTTGAAAACTAGTCAAGTGAGGTTTATATATCTGTGAAATGTCCAGGATGGAAGAAAGATAATAATTGATAATAATTACTGTATCATTACAAAAATTCACCAGTTTTCCTTACTCTTATTTAGGACCTGTGGATTATGCATGTCTATCATGTATATAAAATATGTGCATATGTATATATGCATATATATTTCCAGTATGATTTGCACTTTGTTGTTCTCCTTGAATCTGTGTTTAAATCAGGTTTTCTTAGAATCAGCATCAGACAATATTTTGCACAGCATTCTGCTACAAAGAAGAAGTCGGGATATTCAAGCAGCAATGGCACTGATGAAAGCAAACTTTGTGACAGTGTCCTTTTTCGTGATGTAGGTAGCAAACAGTAGGAACAGTTTCTAGCTTTCTACTGAAGAGAAAGCACATTTTAAGCCATTCCAATGCCTACAAGCAGAGCTATTAAAAATGACAGGTTGCCGCATAGATATATTAGCAGTAGTAATAGTTCGCTTTTCATCTACAAAAGAAAAGAAAACACGTATACATTAACTCTACAAACAGTTCAATAAAATTTAAACCTTCTACAATAATTTCTGGGAGGGTTGTTTGTTTGTTGGTTGGCTGCCAGAGGTGACTTACCCACCTCTGGCAGCCAACAAACTATCTTATACTCACTGTGTGGAAAAACAGAGAACATATTTATAAGTGGCCCTCAATTCTCACCCCCCAAAATAACCCCACAAAACCTGTTAAAGTGTGGGCAGTCCATGAGAATTTGACTTAGGCCCCTTCCACACAGCTGTATAAAATCCACGTTGAACTTGATTATATGGCAGTGTGGACTCAGGACCCTTCCATACAGCCATATAACCTAGAATACCAAGGTAGATATTCCTCAATATCTACTTTGAACTGGGTTAGCTGAGTCCACACTGCCATATAACCCAGTTCAAAGTAGATAACATGGGACTTTATATAGATGTGTGGGGGTCCTTCCACACAGTCCTATATTCCAGAATATCAAGGCAGAAAATCCCACATTATCTGAGTGTGGACTCAGATAACCCAGTTCAAAGCAGATATTGTGGATTTTTTTGCCTTGATATTGGGATATAGTGCTGTGCAGAAGGGCCCTAAATGCTTACAGTGGAAGAGAATTACTGCCAATGGTAGGGCTTCTCCATATAAAAACTTCCTAATATGAAGTCCATACAACTGCAGCAACAAAAAGGGTTACCTTTGGTTGTGGATCTTCGTAGATTTCTGGAAAAAGTAAATGACAAAACAAGACAATAACGCAATGAATATCAACATCGCTCCTTAGCTTTGCTAAAAACACAAACAAAAACTTGGATATGCTTTTGTGGATTCAAATCAAGCATTACCTTTCTTTTTCAACCAATGGTTTACATCCAGTGTAATGGCTATTAGAGCCTCCCAGCCTACAAAGCCTCCCATTGTTTTCACCATCCACTGGTTAGAAGTATTGCTGAGCATTTGCAGGCCCAGAAATATGGCAGCAACTAAAGAAAACAGAGAGAGAAATCATGGCAAACCATCAGGATTTGGATGACAGATAATTCCATAGCTCTATATTCATCACTCTCAACTTTAATAACAAGCTGTGAGGAACATCGTCTAACTAAAAAAAAAGAAAAAGGGAGGGAGGGGTAATTTCAAACATCCAGTCACTGAGCTGCTTTGTGAGTACTTTTACTGATCTAACTCACCCTAAAATTCCAAATGGAAACTAAGATTCCTTTACTATAAATATATAATGAGTTTAGCTTCCAATTAAGAAGTTGTTTAATTAAAGGGGCCACAGTGGCATAGTGGGTTAAACCGCAAGCTGCAGAAGGTTGCTGGTTTGAATCCGTGGGATGGGGTGAGCTCCCGCTGTTAGCCCCAGCTTCTGCCAACCTAGCAGTTCAAAAACATGCAAATGTGAGTAGATCAATAGGTATTACTCCAGCAGGAAGGTAACAGTACTCCATGCAGTCATGCTGGCCACAGGACCTTGGAGACATCTATGGACAAAGCTGGCTCTTCAACTTAGAAATTGAGTTGGACTCAACTGGACTTAATGTCAAGGGGAAACCTTTACCTTTACTGAACAGTCGTTAATAATCTATGGCCCCCATATACATTTCAGTCAGTATGTCAAATGGCAAATATGTGTATTCATTCATACAGTTTATAGTCTGCCTTTCTCCTTATGCAGGACCTAAGGTGTTAAGATAACTCTAGTTGAAAAATATGGCAATACAACAGTTCCCTGCTACTCCAATAAAGAATTCTGGGAATTTTAGCTGGAAGAAATAATGGCAATTTGCTAACAGATTTTTTCCCAGTCCACAGAATTATAACTTCCAGAATGTTGGGGAGGAAAAAAAATGCTAGACCAGTGTAAATCCATAGTATTCATATGCGTTTTCTGGTTCTGTAAGTATATCTAGAATGCTTTTGGGTTTTTTTCTCACTGGGCAAATATAAATCTCTTGTGCTTGGGCTTCTGTGTGCAATGCTGGACTACGAACATCTCCATTTACTCCTTGTAACCTAATTCTAAACGCATGTACTTGGAGGAATGCCACACTGACTCTTCCTTATGTATATGAGTTGCTTGTTCTGTTCCAAGTTTCTACCAACTGCCAGAGTTTCTAAGCGTGTGCTTAGGAAAAGGGTGTTGCCCTTCCTCAGCAACTACCTGGTTTTGTTGTAGATTACATCCCAAATTTCAAGTCTGCGTTGCTCAATGGGAGCAACTGAGTATCACACTTTTAAGTTGAAACAGAAATATTCATCCACTTACCTGCCAAAACTTTGATGACTAATGCATTTAGCATGTGAAACCAATTAAAAACAAACCTCCTGTGGGTGCAATGCAAAACAGTCGGTTAGATTACTTTACTCTGCAAATTGTAAACATTAGTTGGTTCATAGCTCCAGCGTCATGTCTACTGTTTCCAACATACTCTCCCCATAATAGAACAGTTCTACACATTTTTTTGGCTCTCAGGCTGCTTCTACACGCAATATAATCCAGATTACCAAAGTAGATAACCCACATTATCTACTTTGAACTGGATTACATGAGTCTACACTACCATATAATCCAGTTCAAAGCAGATAATCTGGATTTTATATGGCAATGTAGAAGGGGCCTCAGTATTACATACAAAATTCAATGGTGGTGAGGGAAGAGCTGCACGTGCCTGTCCATATTTGTGAATATACATGCCCATCTCCCCCCTAACAATTGCCATACAAACTGTGGTTTACTCACTGGTAGTAGCAGTCAGTAAACAACAATTTAGCATCAAACTAGACAGTATATCAAGTTTTTTGAAGGATTATTTCCCCAGATGGTGAAAGTCATTGTTTGATCATAAGACAGTTCTTTCTTGCCTACATAACTTGCATCTAGCAAACTGTATTTTGTGACTCTTAAGTGCAGGGTAAAATGGGTTTAATTTGCATATATGCTTGTGGATGTGTGCTTATGTATCTCCAAGGAAATCCTGTTATGGCAGGAAAAATGTGTAATTGCAGGGAATACAAATTCTACTTAACATTGAGTTTGACACTTAGATGCTAGAGAATAACACCCCATACACATAGTGGAGCCCTGCAAGCCTGATAGACCATGCAGTCAAGACTCAAAGACTGTCACATTGTGCACAGAACTGCAAGTTGTGAAATACCTGAACTGTTTTGATAGGTAGCGGTTTCCTATTTTATCGCCACGTCTAAGGCTGCAATGGGTGAAATAACCAGAACGTAGCTAAGGTACTTTTTAAGATTACAATCCCCAATTGCTGTGCTGTCCGAAGGATTCTGAGTATCTGGAAATGACATAGCAAGTACACTGCTATTATCCTACAGAGTCACCATGTTCAGGGGCAGTATGTCACACAAAGTACTGTTTACTGGGATCAACTGCAGCAAAGGGCTATGTCATCACTGTGGGCTTCCTAAAAGTCTTTAACGTTAGCAACTGTAGGGAAAAGGATGCTGGTTTAGAGGGAACTCTATAGAGGAATCTATTCTCCTTGTGTGTGTGTAAAGTAGTGTATTTACTTCCATATTAGTAAAATTGGATTTGCTTTTCTATATTCTTCTGTAAAGAAATTTAGTCCCCATCTATACAGCTGAATAAAATCCCACATTATCTGCTTTAAAATGGAATATATGGCAGTGTGGACTCAGATAATCCAGTTCAAAGCAGATCTTGTGGGATTTTCTGCCTTGATATTCTGGGTTATATGGCTGTGTGGAAGGGCCCCTAGGCTACCCATCAGGTGCAGTTCACATAATCTCTGACTATATGAGTTGGTATTGATGGGATTTGTAGCTCAAAAATCTGCATGAGATCAAGTTGCTCAAAGATTAGATTAATTTTAAAAAATCATGACAGCTTATGGAAAGTCCCCACACGTGATTACCATAGCAGTAGGATAGACAGAAGTCTCCAGAACAACAAGTGAACAGAACTGCCTAATTCAAAATGTTTTGAAGCCTAGTGGCCGGAGGAATTGCACTTTGCATATGCTCAAACCTCATGATTCTCTTGTGCTATTTTAACAAATCCTAAGGCTGAGCATCAATGCCATAGACAGATTCTGGGGCTTAGGCTGAATATACACTGCCCTATATCCCAGGATCTAATTCCAGATTGGCCCCCTTCTAACACTGCAATATAATTTGGAGCCCTTCCAAACAGGCCCTATAACCCATGATTTAATCCCAGGTTTTCTGTTTATCCCAGATTTTCTGGCAGTATGGACTCAGTATGGATCAGATCCTGGGATAAAAGGTCTGTTTGGAAGGGCCCTTGGATTATCAAAGTAGATAATCCATATTATCTGTTTTGAATTGGATTATATGAGTCTACACTGCCATATAATCAAGTTAATAGCAGATAATCTGGATTTTATATGGCAGTGGAGAAGGGGCCATTATCTGCTTATCCCAGATTATCTGGTAATGTAGACTCATATAATTCAGTTCAAAGTAGATAATCTGGGATCAGATCCTGGGATATAGGCAATGTAGATCCAGCCTTAATGAGCCTTGCCTATGAGCTGTCTTGTGTGAGGGCAAGTCACCTTTTCCGATGCAGCTCAACACTGCACCCTAGAGTTACTTATAAGATGCCATACTAGGTGTCTAGTACAACAGAGAAAATACCTTTCAGGTCACAGTCCTCCACGCTCTTATCTGGCAAGAAATTACACTCAAATCAATAGGTCCTACTTCTGAATAGACCACTGTTGAAGTGTGCTATCTATCGTGGGCAGATTAAACATTTATTCATATACTTTGTGGTCTGTCTATTTATAAACAAACAACTATTATTATTATATTTATTTATACCACGCTTTATCTCTCCCAAAGGAGACTCCAAGTGGCTCAACTAAAATGATCAATTGCTTCAGATATATGTTTTAATTTGAAGAGAGAGCGAAGGAGGAAAAGAAGGAAGCCAGCCAGCCATGTTGATCATGCAGCAAAATACAATGCGATACAAAATCTACAAAACAGCAATACCATTATTGGGCCAATTTAAAAAGCCGCACAAACAAAATACATCATGCTAGCTTTCAAAGTTCTGCCCTTCCTCAGACAAAGGCATTAAAATCATATAGGAGAATAAAAAATGACAATGTAAGAATCACAGGCCTACATTTTATCTTCAGATTCTACTTCTGTTGTCTATTAGAATGACCTGAAAGGTTTGCATCTTGATCCAATAAAAGTATAGCAATATTCTGGATTTTGCTGCATGGTGAATATGTCTATCTCAAATGTTTCCTGGATTTCAAATTTAGTGAGAACGAGATATCCTAAAGAGAAAGGAGCCAAAGAGTTGGAACTTAATTCTTTGGCTGGATCTACATCCCCGATAATCCAGTTTCTGAATCCAAATTATCAGATTTGAACTGGATTATATGAATCTACATTGCCATATAATCCAATTCAAAGCAGACAATCTGGATTCAGAAACTGGGTTATACAGCAGTGTAGGTGGAAACTTTGAGATTTTTACTTCCAGCAAATTTAAAACTCTTTCATTTGGACGACAATTGGCAAGTTTTATCAAGACAGCACCTACACAGTTTTCCAGATATAATTGTACAGAAGCTCATTGAGAAATTCAATATTCTCTGCTCAAGAAAAGCATAAATATACTCTATTGGAGAAGGGGAGCTTGAATCTCAAAGGAGGTAACTTTTCTGTTATTAATGGAGTTTTTCTCCCAAAGCTTTTACAGTTATTAGTTTCCCATTTCCTATATACCAGATTGGCCTCTAACTGCCTTAATATACCTTCTAGACCAGTGATCTTCAAACCTATTAAGCAGAGTGCCGGTTCATGGTCTCCCAGACTATTTGGGGGGGGGGGGTCGCAATAGTATGAAAAAAAGAATTAATTCCTATGCACACTGCATATTTCTTATTCATAGTGCAAAAAAAATATATGAAAAAACAATACAATATGTAAAATGAAGAACAATTTTAACCAATATAAACTCATCAGTATTTCAATGGGAAGTGTGGCCCTGCTTTTGACTAATGAGATAGTTATCAATAAGGATTCCTGTTGTTGTATGACTTCAAGTCATTTCAGATTTAGGATGACCCTAAGTCTAACGCTTAGGGTAGAGACCAGGTAAATGACCTTAGAGGGTTGCATCCAACCTGTGGGCCTTAGTTTAGGGACCTCTGATCTAGACTATCTTTACAAACAATAGAAATAAAATACTGCTGCAGAGTTCTTTCACACTACGTATTTATAGCATTATATTCTACTTTAATTCCATTCTATAAAATTCTTGGATCTGCAATTTAAGGAGTATACTTCGAATTCTCGGCCTGAGGGATCTAGTGTCTCACCAAATTACAAATCCCAGGATCCCACAGAATGTTGCTTTGGCAGTCAAACTGGAATCACAGAAATGTAACTGGGTGGTATGAACGGAGCCTAATTCAACAGACACTCCACAGCAACACAATAGGTACATATTATATTCTACTAAAATAATTGGATTTACAGACCGATTATTTTGAGGAGAAGGTCGAAAAAATGCTATCACAGGTTGAAAGAATGAAAGGATCATGACAATGCATCCGATAACAGCATGAGCGCCTGCATCCTGTGAAAGGGAAAAGTTCTTAATTTGAATTTTGTTAATATAACTTCATTTAAAAGATGTTATTTTCAATCAATATAGATTACAGCCCAGAACTATTTTCCGACATTTCCTAGCAACAACTTATTTATGTCTTCTCAATCCTGTGACATATCAGAACAAAAAAGTGTCATTCTCTTCACCTTCTTTATCTATTTACACATGTATATTTCTTATTATTTAAACAGAGTGAACACATTTATTATTATTTACATACAAATAATAATGTTTCAACATATTTTTAAAAACTATTGTTGCTGTTTATTCGTTCAGTCGCTTCCGACTCTTCATGAGCTCATGGACCAACCCACGCCAGGGCTCCCTCTCGGCTTCAAGGTCAAGCTAGTCACTTCAAGGGTAACATCCATCCATCTTGCCCATATTAAAAACTACCATATACTGAAACATAATATTATGCTTTAAATACAAAACAGAGGGGCCTCGTTCTCTAGTCATTACTTCAATGTTTATAGTGAGTGAGCACCACTGAACAGAGTCAAAAGCATATTTATATCCAATCTTATGAATTAATTTTATATTTATGTCTTGTTTTTTCTCTAGGCAGGAATCTTGCCTTTCACTTTCCTTTTCATCATTTTGCCCTAATGTTAATTATGTTGGTCAGGTTTTGTAGAGGGAGGGGGAGAGACTGGCTCAAGATCCCCCTGTGATATTCATAGCTAACACTGCAATTTAATTGCATTGAACTGCATTATGTAACTCTACACTGCCATATAATGCAGTTCCCAAAGCTAAAATACATAATGAAACTGCATTATATGGCAGTGTAGATGAAGCCTTAGTAAGGTTAGAACCCAGATCTTCCATATACTGATCCAGTTGCTGTTTTGTGTGCCTTCAAGTCATTTCCAACGTATGGCAACACTGGAATTCTGTTGTCATGATTTGCCATTGCTATTGCTTTCCTCTACGGCTGAGAGTGTGACTTCCCAAAGTCACCCAGTGAATGTTAATAGCTCAGCAAGGACTTGAACCCTGCTCTCCAAGGTAGTAGTTCAATGCACAAACCACTAAATCATATTGACTGCCAGGTAAGTGCCATTGTACTACATTAGCTCATGTCGGCCATGTTAGCTCTCAAACCTCGAACTATGCTGTCTTGAAAACTGGATCAGCAACTGACAGTCTAAGGGCCAAATTTGACTACCTAGGTATCCCATGTGAATTCCAAGCTGCATCTACACTGTAGAAATGGCAGTTTGACACCACTTTAACTGCCATGGCTCAATGCTATAGAATCCTAGGAGTTGTAGTTTGGTAAAGCACCTGAACTCTTTGGTGGAGAAGGTTGAAGACCTTGTAAAACTATAGCTCCCATGATTCCATAGCATTTAGCCACGGCAGATATAATGTAGATATATCCATAGTTGTAAAATCAAAAACATGTGGACTAGAAGAGTTTGCGTATGGATATATAACAGCTTTGAGTACACAATACCTATTTTGAGGGCGAGTGATACTTTGATCCCCATTCCTACATCACATTTTAAACGAAAACCTCCATTTAAATTAACGTTTCACCACGGCCTTAGAAGCTTTTGTAAATGAAAGCAAATGGTGTAACTTACATAACTCCATCCTTTTACTGCTGAAAAGATCAGTATGAAAGCAATTGATGTTGCCACCACAGTCAGCAACATGAGCAAAGAATGTATCTAAGGAAAAAGAAAGTCAGGGATTTAATTGGATTATATGAAATATTTCTGTCTGCCTCATCTATTTATTGTCTATATGAAAAAATATTTTGTAACAACTGTTAAAATTATATTTTGTATTTGAACTAAGCAATGCCTCTGGGTCTTCTCGCGTTCCCATCTGTTCTATATTTCAATTTCAGTGCCTAATGTAGTTTTTCTCATAAATATTGAGAAAGATTCCCTTCTAAAGTCACTTATTTACTATCTCCTGCAAGAAGGAATGTATAAAACCATCTGTGATAGTGGTAGTGACCAATATATTTTATTAAGCAAAAAGTACTGTTAAAAATACACTAAAGAATCTAAAAGAAAAAGGGTAAGTGTGCTGTCAATGCTGGGCCTATTACAACTGGCTTTTGCACAGGACGTGCTCTTTGTTCCCAGTGGGAAGCCAGGTGCCTCAGCTGAGAGGCTGTAAGGATTTTCCTATACAAAATCTTTAGAAGCTTGAAAAGTTTAACAAAGTCCTTTATTATTGCTTAGGTCTTCAACAAAACAATCAAATACTTCTCAGATCTTCAACAGGTCAAACAAAAACTTAAAGGCTTTGAATCAACTGGTAGCTTTCTTAATCTTGTCCACAAGGGATAGGCAACTGGCTTTGTGAACTGTTTCTTTAACTGTTTCTTTTCTTTAAGAGGAAAACCTTTTTTAACCCCTCCTTGGGCAATCTACTTTCTAAACTTTGCTGGTGTGGGCTCTACTCCCGGTTACAAACTGCCTCTTGGGTTCTGAGTAGACCTACTAGTCAAGGCTTTGTAGATTCTCCAGCTGGAGTCCTTTGGAACTGTTTTACCCCGGAATTTCGTAAGAAACGAAGCTTCTCTACAGGTGAAGCTGATCTGCGACCTGTAGCTAAGTTTTCAACTGTAAAACTGAGCTAAAATGGCTCCCTTTCCTTCCTGAACTCTGGGGAAAGGGGCAGAACTAAAAAACCCAACGATGATAGGCAGGTGGCTGCAAACCAAGGGAAGCCACCTTATTGCAAAATGCATGGAATTTTGGAAAACATGCAAACACTCAAAGAAAGAAAAGGAAGTTGGAGCTCCTGGTACAACCGTACCAGCACAGTAACTGATAGAGATATGACTTCTCTTTCTAAAACAAATGAGAAAACTCATATACCTAAGAAACACAGAGAATGCTGTACTTATGTCATGCCATACTTGGCACAGAATGGCTACTGGAGCACAGCATTTTGCAAAGCAAACAGAACTATTGTCCTTTACATGGAAACAAATTCCTCTGAACTCAAGAGATACATATAAAATTGGAATGCAAAACATAACCTTAGAGGAAAGAAAACACCGCAGGTGGTCAAAGGTAAGTCTTTTAATATATAATTTTGATATAGTATGAGTATAATACTATATCAAATAAGATATAGTAAGATATAGATCAAATAATCTTGCAACACAGGTGCTTTTCACAACTGTCAGTTGTTTCAGGATGTTCAATTTAAAAACAACTTCTGTACTTTAAAAGGTAGTGGAATGAAAATGCACCCTTTCATATCATAACTGCATTTATGTTCCAGTGGCATTTGGTTCAGTGTTTGATTCTTTTCACTTACAATACCATTTGTACCATTATTGTTTTTTAAAATATATATATATATAAAATACAAAACAAAACCAGTCAGCTGCAATTTCATAACCCACTCCCTGTTCAGATTGGGAAGATGAACACACACCACAATACTTCCAAAAACGTTTCCCCCCCTATCCCTTTTTTCAGGAACTAAAACTTTGCCTGCTTCTACTTTTGTATATGATTCTTTAAATTTTGGTATATTTACTCTTTATTTTCTTTCCTGAACCCTATGGTTTCTCTGGACATTAATACTTTGTAGGATTGCATTAGTATTGCCCCACTTCACTCCTCCACTTTAAAATAAATATTTAAAAATCATGTTGGAAGGTAGAGGCCCCTTCTACACTGCCATATAAAATCCAGATTATCTGTTTTGAACTGGATTATATGGCAGTGTGAACAACATTCAGTTCAAAGCAGATAATATGGATTATCTGCTTTGAAAATCTGGATTATATGGCAGTGTAGAAGGGGCCAGGGACAAAATAGAAAGCATTTCTTTTGGGAAGTCTTGGAAATTCTGTTGTCCTCTCGGCCCAACCCCTGGAAGTAGTCTGGGGTTTGTCTGCTGGCTCCTTGGGAATCTCCAAAGGAGGAGTGAAAAATAAATCCGCACAAGACTCACTATTTCTATAAGACTTGTTATCTGAAAAAACTGGAAAGAGTTATTAACACCTAAAGACGTCATACACCTGCTATTCTGACTAGGGCTCATTGTAGTTGCAGTCCAATAACTCTGGATGGCCACAAATTATTCTCTCTGATTTATGCTGACTTCTAAACTCTTTGTAATTAACTGGTATCAAATCAACCCTTCCAAATCCTAGTCTTATTCTGACTTTCTGACTGCAGTCTTCACTCTGATAAATGACTGAAGCAAAGTATGGAAAATATTGAATTATTTCAATGTCTTCATTGTGTACTTTAAAATTGTTTAAATCATCTGTAGTCATTATTCAGAAAGAAATAGCAGGTGTGTTCACATTTCCATTAAAACTGTTAAATGCTGCCAATTTATGTTTCCTGCCATTCAAAGCTTACACATACCTGAAACCAAATGTCTTTACCCAGAAGAGTTCTTTTGATTGACTTCTTCAGGTACCGGGCAAAAATCATTCCTACACTCCCTGTGGTCATCCAAGCAATCAGCATGAGAGCACCTTACAAAACCAAAGCATCGGCATGAGAAGTCAAGCGAGAAAAGGCTTGTTAAAACAAAAGCTATTTCCAAGATTAACTTAATGCATCTATTTGAAATACATGGGTACAGTAGGCCTGCTTATTCCATGAGCTCTTTGAATATGGTTTTATTTATATGTGAGGAACTTTGAATATCACAAAATAGCTAATAGAAAACTAGAAAGGACAGTGAACTTGAATATCTGTGCAAAATAACAAGTTTACTGTTGTGTTTAAAAGCATGTTGGAAACTCTGTAGTGTCCTTTTCTCCTGGAAATAGATTGCAGCATAGGCTCAAATATAGTAAATAAATATAGTAAATAAATAAATAAAATCTCTGGTTGGTGACTGTGGAATTGAACCCTAAAAAAGTCGGTGTGTAAGCCTAAGCAGGACCTGGTCAAAGACAAATAGGACTCGGTTGGCTGGTATGTGGCAGGCAGGAATGTACCATGAGAACTGGAGGTCAAGCCAAGGCAGAGCTAATTCAGCAGGGCTTCGAAGGAGGAAGACAGAAACACAGTAAGATGTAGGGAGTTATTTTGCTTTTCTATTCTGCACATTTTAAATAAAGAATATATATCACACAAACCCTAACTGCATAATATAGAATTATAGCTTGCCTGTTTACTTATTTATTTGATTAAATAAGATATAAATAAATTTATATTTATTTGAACATCAAATAAATACTGACATATTTGAGCATACATATCAATATAGCAAAAGATACCAACTGTATTTGTTTTAATCAAATTAATCCATTTTGCTGGGCCATTTTGCCTTCCTTGGGATCTCACCAAGCTATTTCTTCACATCCAATCTCCAGCCCACTCCCCAACACCAGAATATTTTTTTAATTAAATTGGCCAATTGGTTGTCCAAAAACATCTAGAGCAGTGGTTCCCAATCTATGGGTCCCCAGGTGTTTTGGCCTACAACTCCCAGAAATCCCAGCCAGTTTACCAGCTGTTAGGATTTCTGGGAGTTGAAGGCCAAAACATCTGGAGACCCACAGGTTGAGAACCACTGATCTAGAGCTATGATTGCTCATTCACAGGAATTTTTCTGTAGAGACAAGAAATGACTAGTTGGCCATGAGCAATCACTGTGCTGGTGTTGAGCCTTAAAAACTGGTCTGGTGTTGGCCCATAATATAAATTATATTTACCTTCTCCCAAAGCCCTCTGCCCACCCTCAACTTCCCCTCCCCAACCCGGAATTCATGGCAGTTCAGCCCCCTTCTACATTGTCCTTATATCCCAGGATCTGATCCCAGATTATCTTCTTATCTCAGATTATATTGCAGTGGAGACTCATATAATCCAGTTCAAAGCAGATAACCTGGGATCAGATCCTGGGATATAAGGACAGTGTAGAAGGGGTCTCAGTAAAAATGTTTTTAAAGGTACAAATAAAACATAGAAGTTACAACATTAAACCAAAATTATTTTTTAAAGTACATAGATTTTAAGTATTTTTTATCCCATTGTGTATGCCAAAAGGCGCACACAGCAGTTTAAGTGAGGTCAGTAATGATTAAAATTATATCAGTGTGCAACCTATAAAGGACACAACATAAAAAGGGATGTGTAAAGAGACATCAAAAATTGGACACCAATTCCTGAAGTAACAAAATGAGCTTTCTAAAAATAGTTAAATTATAGGCTCTATGGCCATTTCTTTTGAGTCTATTCCATGCTAAAAGTTTTTAAAAACCACCAGCAATTGTAAACGATCAATAGGTGTTAAATAGTCTTAGATGATAAATGACAGTTCCTGAAGGAACAGCAAAACAAGTAAACCAAAACACCTTTGTCTTTCCACATAATCACTTCAAAAATGTATGGAATATGTTCATAAAGACCTACCCGCAAGAATTCCTTACTATGCTACTGCAAACATAATGTGGAAAAAAGGAATTGTGGGAACTTGTAGGAAGAATAGCTTTTTGTAGTTTTTGTATTGTTTTGTATGGTGACTTACCATGAGCCTTAATAATCGAGGATATAGAAGAGGTACCTCCTAGAGACTGGAAGCTTGAAATGTTCACCTTCTGATCCGTAATGAAAGGTCTCCTAGTATGCTTTAGTATCTGGCCTTGAAGGTGTTTTTAAAAAACAAACAAACAAACAAAACAGAAGGAGCAAGGTATTACTAGAAGTGAAGCACCCCTTACCCATCCGTGAGTTGACGGCAGTTAGTTTTATCTACTGTTGTTTTAAAATTGTATTGTTTTGATTTTAACATGTGTTGACAGGGGGTTGTTGTTATAATTTTATGTGACTTGTTTTATACTTTTGTACTTTTTTTACTGGTTGTATGTTATATGTACACCCTAGAGTGCTTTGTAAGCTGCCCTGAGTCCCTTCAGGAAGATGGTGGCGGGATATAAATTATTATTATTATTATTACTATTATTATTATTATTATTATTATTATTATTATTATTAAGTGACACTGTGTAGATACACTCTTGGATGAAAAGCAAGTATGAGAATAGGAATTGAGAATGAGCTGGATAGGGTTACAGGCTTTTTGGCGCAGACACCATGTCCTCCAACCATCCTGATTTGGCAGGAATAGTCCTGATTAATCCCCAACTATGCCACTTTTGATGCTGCTTTTAAATTTCCCAGTTTCTCTGCCCTCCCCCTTCCCAGGTCAATACTTTATTCTGCCTTTTGGCGTACATCAATTGTCAACATTCATTTTGTTCAATTTGAAGGAAAGAAAAGAAGAGAGCAGAAGGGGACTCAGAGTGGCCTTACAGTGGGCAATATCAGCACAATAATGGAAGACATGTTTTGAAGTAGATGTTTGGGACTCCAATTTCCCAAGAGGTGTCTTGTAGAATTAATGGCTCAAGGCTATGGAATCCTGAGAGCTGTAGTTTGGTGGGACAGCAGAACTCTTGGACAGAGAACTTTAAAAATCTTGCCAGTTAAAGTGATGTCAAGCGGTATTCATTCTACATTGTAAATGCATCCAAGATGCTGAATTACTTGTAATAGATTATGAGAATTGTCATCAAAAACATTCAGAATCCCCAAAATTCCCCATTCTTGTTCTAAACAGAACTCACCAGCTGACGATGGTCCAAAAGCCAAAAATATGTAGTATAAACTGCCAGCATTTCTTGGCTGGGTTGATATAGCATTTCTTGAAATGAAAGAACACCTGACGATTCCATTGTTAAAGGATGTTGATAGAATTTCCACTTCACCCTAGAAACACAACTGTTTATAACTACTACTCTGGCTGTGCTCATTATATGAGGTACATATGAACGAAATAATAATTACTGACAGTAACCCAATAGAATTATTCAAGTCTATTAAAATATATGCATTTTACCAGATTAAGGACAAAACAATGAACACTTTCTATAGATGTTACACATGCCTGATGTTGTAATAATGATGATGATGATGATGATGATACATCACACAGTCCTAGACACTTGGGAAGTTTTTGACTTGTGATTTTGTGACACGAAATCCAGCATATATATCTCATTCACTGTGACATACTGTGTTTTTTGGTGTCAGTAAAATAATAATTTTATTTATATTCCGCCCTATCTCCCTAACATATGAAAACGTAAACATTCAATGTTGTTATCATTGGAAAAGAAATGCAATGCCAATTTTAATTAATACACCATGCAAATCAAGTATGGAAAGTGCTACCCTTTTACAACACACTACCCTTCCCTTCATCCCTTCCGGTTAGGTCCAAAGTACATATTTTGAGCTCTACATAACATCTGTCATGCTTTAAAAAATTCTAACAACAAGAAGACATTTTTAGTACCAGAGGTAGAGGGCTAGGTCTAGTACGCCCAGTTGAGAAGGCATGTTGAACTTCTATATGATCTGTGGCATTTCTAACACAACTATAGATGTCATCATCCCCCTGGAAGAAATAAAAACATCATCATATTTGGTTGAGGAATTGCAATGATAGGAATGTCCTTTGTACACATAGAAAAAAAATAAAACCAAAACAGCATAATGTTCTGCCTCCTACTTCCAAATTCTGCCATGTCATAATTAACCATGTTGCTAGTAAGCCAACTTTGACATTATTATTTCTTTAACAGATGCCTAAATATATATTTTTAAATTATATAATAGTTATACATTTTAAATAAACAATAAAGGAAACATTTCAATATCTCACCATAATTGTGTCATCAGAAAAACCAATAGCTACATAGCCATCTGATGAACCGCTCATTTCAAATTTGAATGCAGAGGTCCCTAATGCTTCAGATGACATGAAGTAACAGTTTGGATCTTGCGGACTGCACCCCTCAGGGTTACTGAAACAGAATTTATTTGTACCACATCCTGCTTCTGTAGAGACCTGCAATGAAAATGATATTATTCAAGACATGTACACATGTGCCCTCAAGTTCCTTCATTCCTGGCATTATATACATTTGTTACAGGATTCCTTAAATCACTTCCCTTGCAGGATTCTTATACTTTGTCACACTACATAATTAATGTACTGTGATTCTATCTTAACTGTCATTGTTCCACTGTATAGAATCTATATATATGTAGTTTTCTTAGGAAAAGAGTTTTCTTAGGAAAAGAACTCCAGTACTTTTCCAAACTGAATTTTTGCCGGATTTGTAAGCCACCTTGAGTCCCCACTCGGGTCGAGAAAGGCAGGGTAGAAATGAAGTAAATAAAATAAATAAATAAATGAATAGTACTTCCCCAAACTATAAACTCCACATTATTCTGGGAGGTGGATGTTTTCCACGAACATATCTGGTTTTGATATAATCTAAACCACCTACTGACCATCACCTATGTGTCACAATAGTTATTGTCCCCACTGTAATCATATGGAAGATGCTTCTCCATGGGCAAGTGAAGCCCTAAGCTATGTATTAAATGAGATACAGAAACCAAATACTTACTGTTGCAGAAGGACTGGTACTCTGTGTGAAACTGGGTAATGTCTAGGAAAGACACAGAACACCACTAGTTAGAGAAAAAAATATGGAAAATTGCGATAGGCACATCAACATTTCTCACCATGAATTTATCTTCAAGTCTACATCAAATATCATATGGGATTCCAAACTGATAAATGTACAGATCGGTAGAAGTTATAATGGAGGAACAGCATGGAAATATGTAGAAAAAAGATGTTGGCAGAAGCCCCCACCAACTACAGGAAGTTCCCAAGTTACAAATGTCTGACTTATCAAGGATTCATAGTTTAGAATGGGGGTGAGACAACAGGAAGTGAGCAAAATCTACCCCTAGGAAGGGAAATTTTCTCCTTGAAGAGCTATCATAGGGGAAAGGGGTCTCAACTGAAGATTTATCACCAATTCGTGTTTCCACAACAAGCCACATATTTCAAAATCCAATGATCATAGGACAGAAAGTAAGGTGGAATCTTCTGAACAGGATCACAGGCAGCAAAATAAATACCACATGGATGTTAATCCTTTCCTATTTTATCCAAAGCTAAAGACTATATATATTTGGCTGGAGTTACACTTAAAATGCATCTGTTCAAACTTATATATTCAACTTGGAGACAGCCTGTATATGGACTTTTTTCAACTGAACAGCAATGTGCAAACATTATTTTAAAATTTGAACTTATGTTGAAACTGGAAACTGTGGATAATAGTGAACCTCTATTGAAATGAACGACTTCTGCTAAAAGTTTTCAGAGTCACCCTGGAGGACCTAGAAAATTCCTAAAAAGGTATCTTTTCTAGGAATTTATTAGGTCCTCTAATGCATACCATAGAATTACCTGGAACACCTACAACATTCTTAGGGGCAGTATATTTTGTCAGATGCTGATAGGTGAAACCATGGGTATTGGTCACACGCTTATGGGGGTTGCACTGTATATTGCCAAAAGTATACTAGTGTTCCAGCGCTCCTAACAGTGGCAGTAGAATTGCGTCACCAACCCAGGTGAGATTTGTGACCTATGCCAAACAATGCCCAAGAGCAATATGTCACCCATGGTTTGCTTATCCAAGGGCGCTTCAAGACAGGCCTCAAAATGTGGGGCCTGTCGGGCTTTTACCACAGGTGTCCAAATGACACCTCAGGTAAAAGTGAATTAATTTAGGAGAAAGCAGGTTAATGGGGTACTGGGACTGTGGGGACTGACTACTGGGTAGTCTTGGGACTACCTAGGGGTCAGTCCTCACAGCCCTCTTGGTTTTTTGAGATCCATGAGTCTAGAGAAACAAGTCGAACCCCCCTTCCCCACACACACACACACCCTCCAGGCATGTAGAAATGATGTGCTAGAAGACATGTAGAAATTATGTGCCTCCCTCACCTTCTGGCACATCATTTCTACATGTCAGAAGGACTGCCAGAGTGGCCCAGTAAGTTTTCATTAATGTTAAGGCTTAGTTAAGGGGGAGGGGCTTCTGGGTGTTTGGATGCCTTCCCAGTAGTTACTGGGAGGGCATCTAAACACCACACTGGGAAAGCCTGATTCGACACGCATTTCTGTCAAGTCTGGAAGTGTCCCAAGTATATATAATTTCAAGCTAAAAACATTTTCATTTAAATGTTATGTATTATTACATTTTTCAATATTTTAAAAAATAGAGAATCATATGAAAACTTACTGAAACAAATGATTCATCGGAAGATACAAGCAAGTGGCTTTGAATCTGAGACCAGAACGTGGTATAATTCTGTACAACTGTTGCTCTAGAGAGGCAGGAGAGAAAGACCACTGAAATATACATTTGGGTGTCATTGGCCAAGTAAACTAATCAATTCTTCCACATCACATTTTTATAAATTTACTTGATTGAGGAATCTGAGTAATGTAGCTATATCTATATCAGATAACATCACATGCAAGCCAAGTATAGATGGACCTTCATATAATCCAGTTCAAATCAGATAATGTGGATTATCTGCTTTGATAATCTGGATTATATGGCAGTGTAGATCCATCGTAACAGAATCTTGATTAAAAATTCCACAATCAACCATGCTATAAAATAACCTGGTTTAAAGGAGCACTCAGGCCCCTTCTACACTGCCATATAAAATCTGCATTATCTCCTTTGAACTGGATTATGTGGGTGTGTAGACTCATACAATCCAGTTCAAAGCAGATAATGTGGATTATCTCATTTGATAATCGGAAATATATGGCAGCATAGAAGGGACCTCGGTAATTTCCATCACAGAAATGGTAAAAGGTCTGGAGACAATGAGGCTGGATATACACTACCCTATATCCCAGGATCTGATCCTAGATTATCTGTTTTGAACTGGATTATACACTTGAGTCTACACTGCCAGATAATCTGGGATAAGCAGATAATCTGGTATCAGATCCTGGGATATAGAGAAGTGTAGATCTAGCCGGAGAGTTGCAGACTTGCCAACGTACATGGAAACTGAGAATTGTTGCATATTATTTTCATTGCATCAGCCAAAGAAATACTAAGCCTGGTAACCTGTGTATATCAAGAATATTAATAATTTGGATCCAGACCATTTTATTAAGCATGTGAAGATCTATAATTCCCGAGTTGCACAGCTCTCTACCCACAACAGACTAATACATATACTTTAGTCCCTTGTCGTAATAATAATTCACATAAATAAATCAGATCTGTAGGCACATGGCACATAATAGCAGCATACTTTAAATGCTGGGATGCTGTTCAGTGTCATTCAGTATCACTTTAAAGCAAAACCAAAAACCTCTTTGTACCACATGTTAAAAGAAATAAAATTGCTTTGACAATACTTAAAAATTGAAATACAGGAGAAAAGCTCAATAAATTACATTCGAAGCTATTAAAGGTTTATTTAATAGGTTCTGTTGTACTTATGGTGACATGGTGTGACTCTATGATTGAGAGGCTTTCAAGGGACCCTGTTATTAAGACTTCAACAGGTATTAACTATTAAAAGATAGTTTTATTTTTGCATAGTTTTTGTATCAAACAGCTGTCCCCTAAGAAGTTACTTTATCTTAAAGAGAAATTAAGATTGTATGAAATACTGTTATATTAGTTTATCTGCGCAATGCAACCAGATGGTACTCCACAGAACCCTAACCTTTAATGAACAAGAAAATTACTAATGTGTTGCTCAGGATGGATCTACACTGCCCTATATCCCAGGATCTGATCCCAGATTATCTGACAGTGTAGATCGATATAATCCAGTTCAAATCAGATAATCTGTGATCGGATCCTCAGATATAGGGCAATGTAGATCCAGATTCAGCCAATTCCCACTTGCAGATGGAGCTATTACACAAAATCTTAGAATTCCACTCCATAATTAGTTTATCATGCTACCTAGCAATCAGAAGCTTTCCACCTACCAAATCTGGGGAAAACATCATTCTTTCTCCACATAGGAATAACTGAGCAGCTGAACCCTGGATCGCTGTAACATATAGAGCTGTTGGTTGTTGTTCATATGAATCATGAAGACAAATACCTATGTGCATACCTGAATGCAACTTGCCTCACACCAGGAGGCGCAATCCAAACTGCTGTTACATTTTGCTTGTCAAGACGATTTGTGTGACTCACCGAAGAATTCTACAATTAAAAAAGATGTAGAAAAAGTAACACCTTGTCAGGTTTCTAAAACTAAAGCCTTCCCAGTGTTACTTTGAGCCAATTCAGACTACCCCACAGTAATCCATGGGTTTCTTAATTAACTGTGTGCCTAGGATGAAGTGTTCTATCACATACTTTACTTCACTCTTTGTATTGAGTGTGGTTAAAATCAGATCTGGATTTTCAGGTACTTTCATGAACAAACCACCCACTATCCTATGGGTTCTGTTACCAAAATAGTGCAAATGTAAACTCCCAGTTAATCATAAGGCAACAACTTCTTTGTTTGCCGGTGGTTCTGGCACTGGAAAATAGTCTGGCTTCTTGGGTAAAAAGAGCAGAAGGTGGGTAAGATGCCAGTGCTACAGAAAGTGTATTCAGTGGAGTATAGAGTCTATATTGAGAGAAGTAGGAGGATCACTCCGTTCTATCTTAGCCAGACTAATAATGATAATAATAATAATAATAATAATAATAATAATAATAATATTGAAAACACATCACACAGTCCTAGACGCTTGGGAAGTGTCTGACTTGTGATTTTGTGATACGAAATCCAGCATATAGATCTTGTTTGCTGTGAGATACTGTGTTTTTGAATAATAATAATGATGAACCAACCTGGACACAGCACACAACCACCATGTCAGACTACACAGAGAAGCCATTGAAATCCACAAGCATGTGGACAATTTCAACAGAAAGGAAGAGACCATGAAAATGAACAAAATCTGGCTACCAGTATTAAAAAACTCTAAAATTACAACAGCAAAACAGCAGAGAGGAAACAACCAGGCACATCTTAACACCTCTCAACAAAGGTTTTTCCCAGGCTCAGCCAGGCCTTCAAATGCTAATGAAGGTGGTCAGTTGAAACATTCACACCTAGCTCCAGCAGAGAAGAGCTTTTTGCCCCACCCCAGCCATTCCACAGATATATAAACCCATTGTCCTATTTCCAACAGACCTCACTACCTCTGAGGATGCTTGCCATAGATGCAGGCGAAACGTCAGGAGAAATGCCTCTAGAACATGGCCCTATAGCCCGAAAAAACCCACAAGAACTTAGTGATTCCAGCCATGAAAGCCTTTGACAATACATATGTTGACCATTTCCACTACCTTCCCAAAGGGACTCAGGGCAGATTCCAAACATAAAAGGCAAACATTCAATGCCCGAATACAACAACAATACATCCATACTAACAAAATTTAGCAATCCAACATATAAACACAAATTATTCCTTAACAACCAAAATTAAATAAAAATGCAGACATAAGACAAAACATCAAACATCGCCTTCACCAGAATACTGCATCCAGTTCTGGTCACCATTATTTTAGAAGGATGTTGACATGCCAGAACAGGCTGGGAAGAGCAGAGACCAAGGAGATTAAAGATCTTGAAAAAAGCCTTATAAGGAATTATGATGAGAGGGTGGTGGGGAGGGGTATATTTAGCTTGGAGGAGAGATATCTGATATATCTGGAGGGATGTCATGTAGAAGATGGAGCAATCTTGCTTTCTGCAGCTCGAGAGACTAGAATATGAACCAGTGGGTTCATATTGCATTAAAAGACTTAAACATTAGGAGGAACTTCTGTAAGAGCTATTTGACAATAGAATAGGCCCAGAGAGTGCTGGACCAATGTTTTGCAGACTGCAAACATACTGCAGGGGTGGAAAGGGATTTCCCACCCATCAGAGCCTCACCTGACTTGACAGCTGGATTAAGAAGATTCCAAGAGGTTGGGCTAAGTACAAGAGAAACTGAAACCAGTAGGAAGTCTACATTACATTACTTATAATGTGGTAGGCTTTTTTTGAGTAAAGTTATTCATATAGGTTGCTCTGTGGTATTACCTACGCATCCCCTTAAGACTTCATCTGTGGGTGACCTGAATATTCCTGTAGTGTGTTTCTGTGAGAAGTAAAGTGACCCAGAAGGTTAACTGATGACTAAAAGACCTGACACAAGTGGGCATTGGAATAGTCCAATTGTTATAGTGTGTTCAGCAGCTGTTCAATGGTTAGAGAACTTGATTTAAGGAGCAAACAAGTCAATGGCTTGGAGAAATAAAAACTAAGCTTTGTTGTAGAAACTCCATTCTAAAGCCCCACTTACACTTGATAATCTGGATTTTCCATGGCAGTGTAGAGGGGGCCTTAAACTATCTAACCCTACTACTACTACCTCTACGAAGCAATCTTCACTCTTCAGTACTAAGCATTATTACATTTTCAACACCAATTAGGAAATTATCACAGCATAGAATCATAGAATCATAGAATCAAAGAGTTGGAAGAGACCTCATGGGCCATCCAGTCCAAACCCCTGCCAAGAAGCAGGAATATTGCATTCAAATCACCCCTGAATGTCACTAGAACTGGATCTACACTGTCCTATATTCCAGGATCTGATCCCAGATTATCTGATTTGAACTGGATATAAGTCTATACTTCCAGATAATCTGGGATCAGATCCTGGGATATAGGGCTGTGTGGAAGAGGCCTAAGAAAATTTTGAATCAGTAAGTTTTTCCAAACTATCTATTTGCTCTATCAGAGAGCAGTTGTCATGTATCATGTTCCACAGTTGATGATGGTTGGTGGTGGCAGGCCTAGCAGTTGGTGATGGAAGCTGTTAATGTAAGTCTTAGTTCTAAAGGGCTGAGTAATCTGTAAGTAAGAGTTTATAGGTGAAAGCAGTTAAGGGTGGAGGCATGCAAGAGATAGGTTGCAGCTGGGTTTTACTGGTTATAAGGAGTTATCCATGACATTGATGTTAGGAGAGAAGTATTTGATATATTTTGGCTGTGGATGCTTGTGGTTTTTCTGCGGGTTTGTGGTTTTTCAGTATCCTGACCTGTTGCCTGAACTCTTGGAACTGTGGAACCTTGAATCTCTGGACTGGTTTTTGACTATGGTATAGACTTGGACTTTACTCATGGTTTTTGACTACGGTATAGACTTGGACTTTACTCATTGAACTCTTGGCATTTGACTACTGGTCTGGACACTTCGTCTACTGTGTTCTCTTGAACCTACATTAATAGTTGCTAGTAGTCTTTGTTTTATTATTCTGTGGCTGAGTGTTATCTTATGTTTTATTTATTTATTTATTTATTATTCGAACTTATATGCCGCCACTCCCCTAGGGCTCGGAGCGGCTTACAAGAATGACTAAAATCTAACACAATTTAAAAACAATTTAAAACAATTTAAAAACAGCAATATCAACAATCAAAGGCCTGTCAAAACAGTTATGTCTTACATGCCCTGCGGAAAGCTGATAAGTCCCGCAAGGCACGGACTTCAGGTGGCAGAGTATTCCAGAGTGATGGTGCCACTGCTGTAAAGGCTCTGCGTCTGGTTGCTGTTAGATGCAAGGTCTTGACACTGGGAATTTCCAATAGACTATGGACTATGAAAACAGCCAGAAAGTGCTACTTTAATTAAACAGTTTAATACAAGCTGGGTGTTGGTTTTGGTTCATCTCTGCCTGTGTATGGGCATAGCCATTACTTTGCTCCATTCACCCACCGCCAACCATTTTATATAGATCTTAAACACCATAAAGACAAGGCCGTGCTTTGATGATCCCATAGCTTAACTGTCATGAAACCAATCAGAACTTTCCCAGTGCTGCACCCTTGTAGGGAGTGGGTTGGGAAGCCCCTCAAAACAGCATGCTGCTCATAGGATGCAGTAGAAATGCCACAATCCAATGTCTTATATTCCCAACCCACTAAATGGTTACTGGGGCCCCTCCCACACAGTACTATATCCAAGAATATCAAGGCAGAAAATCCCGCATTATTTGAGTGTGGACTCAGATAATCCAGTTCAAAGCAAATATTGTGGGATTTTCTGCCTTGATATTCTGGGATACAAGGTTGTGTGGAAGGGCCCTGGGAGACACAATATCTCTCTCTGTGTATATCTATCTATAAAGGTTGCTGAGAAGGGCCCTCAAATACTTCAAAGTTGGTGACATGGTGGCAAAGATAGTAAGGCACTAGCCGCTTTCTAGACCTAACAAATCTACTCATTTGTGTTAGAAATGTAAAGAACAGTTGCTCTTTTCCGCAACACATAAAAGTAACAACAGAATTAGACATGACTTGAATTATGTAAGTCACACATACCTGAATATTATTGCATTCAAGACCTTGTGTGTCAGGACTTAGGATTCGAAAGCTTCCAACAGCAGAGTCTCCTCCAGGTGTTCGAGCCTGGAGAAGAAATCCTTTAAAGCTGGAGCCATTGAGTCCAGTTAGGGAAACTGTGTTGGGAAGAAAAAGAAGTATGTGTTTGGATATATAGTAATTAACATTAACAGAAGAAAAAATCTATTGCTGTTATGGCTGCTACTCTAAAAGTGGTGTACAAAATATCAAAATTTAGCTAACAGTCACAGAATCATAGAGAGGGGTTGGATCTACACTGCCATATAATCCAGATTATCAAATCAGATAATCCATATTAATCTGCTTTGAACTGGATTATATGAGCCTACATTGCCATGCAATCTGGTTTAAAGCAGATCATCTGGATTTTATATGGCAGTGTAGATCTAGCCAAGGAAGAAACCACATAGACCATCCAATCCAACTCCCTGCCATGCAGGAAAAGCATAATCAAAGCACTGTCCTTGAAATCAACATGGTTTAAAATGCTGAAGCTTGCAAGAAATGCAACTGAAAAAAATAGTGCTCACACAACAAAGATTTGAAAAAGTATAGTAGTTTTAAAAATAATTGTAATTTCACACACACACACACACACAAAGGGATGGAAGTGTATGGCCCTCTGGATGTTATTGTTTTAAAGCTTTCACTATTCCTCACCAGAAGCCATTGGCATTGATAGATGGAAGATTGCCTTTGCTGTAATCTAAAAACTAACTTCTCAATGCAAAGCATTATTTTTGACTGAGGTCTCATCTACACTGCTATATAATACAGTTCAACTCCATTTAACTGCATTATATGGCAGAGTAGACTCATATATTGCAGTTCAATGCATCTTAGGCCACTGCATTACATGGCAGTGTAGATGGGGTCTAAGATGACACTATGGGGTAGGGATAACACTTGCTTGAGCCCAACATCTGGAGCCCAAAAGCACCCCCCCCCTTCTTAAGAATTTTTTAACCAGTGGTTAAAATACATCCAGTGTGCTTTAGCATAGTTGGATTTGTTGAACCCATACAAAGCATCTGGAGCCTTACATAAAGATTAGCCTTCTGTAACACAATGTTCTTCAGATGTCTTGGATTGCAACAGCCATCAGCCGCACCCGGCACAATAATCTGCCCATGGTGGCTGGGGATTTTGGGAATTGTAATCAAGCACTTCTAGTGGAGAAGGATATAGATCAGGCATGGGCAAACTTGGGCCCTCCAGGTGTTTTGGACTTCAACTCATAACTACCAGCTGTTAGGAATTGTGGGAGTTGAAGTCCAAAACACTTGGAGGGCCCAAGCTTGCCCATGCCTGATGTGGATCCTTCCTCTTTCAGGAAGGAAACATCTGGCAAGAGCGTGACTTCTTCTTTTTAAATACTGGAATTTGTAGAACTAATTGGGGAAGACACACACACACATATAGGCCATCCCCTGCTATGCACTGGTGTGGCTCAGTGGGGTGATCTGGAAAATAAAGTGATTAGAAAGTTTTGGTTTCTAACATATGTTATTTCTTTATACTTGTGGGTAAACAGTAGTTCTTGATGTTTCTTTGTTAATGTTGATGTGGAGATTGTTTGGTTTGCCTGATTGTCCTTCATTAGGGGGTCCCTTTCAAATCTATGATACTATATATCTCTCTGTGTATATCTATCTATATTTATGGCTGGATGGCTCTTTGTCAGGAGGACTTTGATTATGTTTTCTTGCCCTGGTGAAGGGAGTTGGACTGAATGGCCTTAAGTGTTTTCTATTGGTCATGGGGGTTCTGTGTGGGAAGTTTACCCCAATTCTGTCGTTGGTGGGGTTCAGAATGCTTTTTGATTGTAGGTGAACTATAAATCCCAGTAACTACAACTCCCAAATGTCAAGGTTTATTTTCCTCAAACTCCATCTGTGTTCAAATTTGGGCATGTGGAATATTCATGCCAAGTTTGATCCAGATCTATAATTGTTTCAGTCCACAGTGCTCTCTGGATGTAGGTGAACTACAACTCACAGACTCAAGGTCAATGCCCACCAAACACTTCTAGAGTTTTCTGTTGGTCATGGGAGTCCTGTGTGGCACATTTGGTTCAATTCCATCATTGGTGGAGTTCAGAATGCTCTTTGATTGTAGGTTAACTATAAATCCCAAGAACTACAACTCCAAAATGACAAAATCAGGTTTTTTTAGTGATTGTCACTCCTTGGGTTTGTAGGTGTCTTGTGGCCAAATTTGGCAGCAATTTGTCAAGTGCTTTTTGAGTTATGTTAATCCCACAAATGAACATTACATTTTTATTTGTATAGATGAATGAATGAGTTTGCCTTCCCCAATTAGTTCTACAAATTCCTGTATTTAAAAAGAAGTAGTCACGGTAAATTGTAACAACATTGAAATAAGGATGTTACCCACTGGACAAAGACTCCTTTTGTCTTTCTCATTTTATCTTGTTGGCAGCAGATACCATTATTCTTCAACATTCTTGGCTGCAATCCAGCAGACCTACTGTAGTTTGCTACCTGCACATTCTGCTTTTTCAGTTCCCCACCCTACATTCATTCCTGCCAGGAAACTTTCAAAAAAATTCAAAAGAAAGGAACTTGAGATCTCAAGTACTTTGGCCAGAAAAAAAAGGGGGGGAGAAGCAAGTGAGCCCATTTGTTTAAATGTGCATATGCAGACAAGCACGTAGACCTTTTTGGATCCAGGCCACTGGGCATGGCATCATTGCATGTTTGGATTGAATTTCTTTTGATAAAAGCCATTTACAGAGAGATACATAATAAATGAAAAAACTTCCTGTTGGAAATCACAACCTTCTACAAGCCTCCTATACTAGCTATTTGTTAAATATATAATTCAGATTACTTCCTATATTATGTATGCATGTTTTGGTATGCAGCTTCCTTAACTCTATGTTGTTTGTGGGAGGGACTGCAGACCACGTGATCAAATCTGGGACTATTCAGACTGAGACTCCATTTTAGAAGTCAGTGTTCAGTCTGTATTGTATTGTATAGTCAGTGTTTATTATGCATAAGACAGAGAGGAGAGACAGTAACAGAAAGCTTTAAAATTACTGTTTAAACTTTCAACTGACAAGCAATGTTCCTATATGCTGAATACATGAAGTTTGTAAGTAAAACAACTCTGTTATTTTTAACAAAGACTACTTATTTCTGTCTCTTAAGAGCATGATTTAAAACTAAATATATTTTATGGGAGAGTAGATGATTTTTTGGGAAACTGAAATAACACTTCTGAAGATCTGCTATATATATTGTGCTTCGGCATAATCTTTGTTCCTAACAGTTCAAAGAGATAACCAGGTATATCAGTCTAACAACTGAGAAACCTAATTAGCCTTGCATGAATGCTAGTGGATATTTACCACTAAAGAAGAGATTCACTCAAACAAGTTTTTAGCTCTTCTCAGGTAGATCATACTTTACAAAAAGGTTATGATTATTCAGGGCCCCCTGATGGCACAACAGATTAAACTGCTGAGCTACTGAACTTGCTGACTGAAAGGTTGGCAGTTCGAATCCGGAAAGCGGGGTGAGCTCCTGCTGTTAGGCCCAGCTTCTGCCAACCTAGCAGTTCGAAAACATGCAAATGTAAGTATATCAATAGGTACCGCTCCATCAGGAAGGTAACGGTGCTCCATGCACTTATACTGGCCACATGACCTTGGAGGTGTCTATAGATAACGCCGGATCTTCGGCTTAGAACTGGAGATGAGCACCAGCCCCCAGAGTCGGACTTGACTGGACTTAATGTCAAGGGGAACCTTTACCTTTATTAAACGGTCATTAAGAGTCTATGGCCCTCCTATACATTTCAGCCAGTATGTCAAATGGCAAATGTGTGTATTCATTCATACGATTTATAGTCTGCTTTTCTCCTTATGCAGGACCGACGGTGTTAAGATAACTCTAATTCAAAATGGAGATGTGCACCACCCCCCAGAGTTGGACATGACTAGATTTAACGTCAGGGGAAGCCTGTACCTTTATTTATGATTATTCCAAATAGTATGAATGCCAATTAATCTCCAAAAGGCTTTGGAGATTATAGTTTTCCCAAAAAGTTATGGATGCCTTTTCCAAAACTTCCTAAAACATTTTTAATTAATACAGCAGGGTACTGTTATATCACAATCAGCACATGAATGGGTATTATATATTTACCTATGATTTCATCTCTTGGAGCAAATGATGTGTTGGAAACGGAGATAGCATACGGTGGTGGAGAGGTCTGTGGAATGGCATTTCTGTGGCTGGGTAACATAGAATCACACGACCCGCTAATCTTCCCACTTGGGAATCCAAGGACTGTTGAAGAAAACACCTTCCAGAAAAAAAAGAGCCTGAACAACGTTTCCATCTGTGGAGAAATAAAAAAATATGTAAATAAGGTAACAGTGGGCCCTTCCACACAGCAACAGAACCCAGAATTTCAAGGCAGATAATAATAATAATAATAATAATAATAAGAAGAAGAAGAAGAAGAAGAAGAAGAAGAAGAAGAAGAAGAAGAAGAAGATACCGTAACTTTATTCTTATGCCCTGCCATCATCTCCTTGAAGAGACTCGGGGCAGCTTACATGGGACCAAATGTCCATAAGACAATAAACAAAACAATCCATCAAAACAAAAACACAATAAAAATAAAAACCTAGATAGAATCCACAGTATCTGCTTTGAACTATCTGAGTCCACACTGCCATATAATCCAGTTCAGTGTGGATTTTATATAGCTGTGGAAGGGATCAGAGAGGAAGCCTGAAGTGGGGGGAATCTTTCTAAATTATATCTCATTGTAATGATATACATCACATATTTTACCCCTTCAAAAAACAAAATGGGCCAACTGCAGAAAAAACTCAGGGTGCATCTGCACTGTAGAATTAATGCAGTTTGATATCACAAGCAAATAACATTTTCATTCATGCCAATACAAGAATATTATTCTATTATTTCCAGTGGGAGACATGTTCTCCAGACTCTACCATTTAAATCAACAGATCATAAAAATGTTGAAATTTTGTTGCGTAATAAACTTTATTTCTGTCAGACACTTAAGGCCCCTCCACACAGCCATATAACCCAGAATATCAAGGCAGAAAAATCCCACAATATCTGCTTTGAACTGGGTTATCTGAGTCCACACTGCCATATATTTCAGTTCAAAGCAAAAAATGTGAGATTTTATTCAGCTGCGTTGAAGGTGCCCCAGAGAATATCCAGATTGTGAAAGAGAGCACTTGCGCAAGATTTCAATTTCCTTGGAGTGTTTTTCACTCAAGAGACAATGTGGATTACAGTAATAATTGCAGCAATCTAGCACAGCCATTATACAAGCTGGAACAAGCACATGCATTCATAAAATGCCATACTCTTATGCCTTTAGAGCAAAGCTTTCCAAACATTTTATATTGGTGGCACACTTTTTAGACATGCATTGTTTTGCAATACAGTAGTTCAGTTTGACAACCAAACCAACCCCTCATAAGCTATACAGATACATACATAAACTATAATTATGAATTGGATGGGGACACAACATGAAAACCATTATATTTTTAAAATATATCATTTGTAAGATAATAATATACATTTCCAAGATTTTCATTTCTCATTATGTTCATGTGGCACACCTACACACTGCAGCTGACACACCAATGTTTGGAAAACTCTTCTCTAAAGTAAAAAATTTGTGTACTTTTAGCCAAAACAATACAAATTCTCTACTACATGTGGCCAGCATGACTGCATGAAGCACGGTTACCTTCCCCCTTGAGCAGTACCTATTGATCTACTCACTGTTAGGTTGGCAGAAGCTGGGGCTAACATTGGGAGCTCGCCTGACTCCCCAGATACAAACCTGCAACCTTCGATCAGCAAGTTCAGAGCTCAGAGGTTTAACCCACTGCGCCACCGGGGACTCGGTTTTTATCTTATATCTATTTCAATTTAACTGGCTTTATCTATTGTATTTTAATTATGTTGTAGACCACCTCAGACTTTGGGGAGAGGCACATAGGAAATAAAATGTGTTCTTATTAATTATTATAGCTATCCACTTGAACTGGCATGAAGGGGGAAGCCGTTCTTCCATATGTTTCACCCTGGTTGTCCTTCAGTCTTGCTAGCTGCCTACCAATGACGGATAGAAAGGGATGGTAGGAAACATGGCACCTTACTAAGCAAGTAAGCAGAGAAGCAGTCAGTCAAGACCCTGTGTGCCAACAGTCATCACATACACACAGGCATGACTTTGTTTACATCATGTAGTTGGCATTCAGCAACTGGCTGAACATACAAGGAGCAGAACTTGGGTGGAGCAATTTGCAAGTAATAGCAAGAAATTGGGAGAGACAATCATATGCGACACACAGAGTTGCCCTACCAACCCTAGGCTTGCTTGTTGCCCTCAAGTGTGATAGAGAAGGCTGTCCGGTCATGTCACCTGTGCCAAAGGAATATTCTATTTCTGGCTTTGACACACCTAACCATCTTGTCTTTTGTTTCAGATAACAAAACACATTGAGCTGGCATTTCTAATAGCAAATTGATTCTTAATATCGAGCAGTCTGTACCAGTCAGTAAGCTTCCAAAGGTTGAAACCTCTTGGCTGCATATAGCTCATGAACTCAGTCAGCATTTCAGAAGAAATCATTAATTTCTATCATTAAAAAAGGATTTGACAACTGGCAAAAGATTTGTTGCCTGGAGAAACACAAAACTGACTCAAAGAGCAATGTGACTCATCACCAGTCCTTAATAAGCATCTCTTGTCTATCCTAACATTGTATTATATTAAATCTAAATGTTCCCTTTAAGATAGTGGACAATTTCTTTATCCCTTTTCCTCCTACACATACAAGTAGAAAATGGATGAAAACCCTTGAATTCTTGGAAGAGCATCAAACAACAAATGTGATAGCAGTGCAATTCTATATATCAGATGTGAGCCCCCGGTGGCACAAAGGGTTAAACCCTTGTGCCAGTAGGACTGAAGACCGACAGGTCAAGGGTTCGAATCCAGGGAGATCATAGGTGAGCTCCCACTGTCAGCTCCGGCTCTCCATGCGGGGACATGAGAGAAGTCTCCCACAAAGATGGTTAAACATCAAAACATCTGGGCGTTCCCCTGGGCAACATCCTTGCAGACAGCCAATTCTCTCACACCAGAAGTGATTTGTAGTTTCTCAAGTCACTCCTGACACGAAAAAGAAAAAAAGGTCTGCTGAGCTGAATAGAACTCACTCTTGGGTAAGTATTCTATAGGATTTACTCTCAGTTATTCTGGACGACACTGGGAAACGTATCCCTTCCCTCCATATTTTGCACCACAAATTCTACCATTCATTACCATTGGCTATACCACTCAAAAGGGCTGAAAGCCATAATAATAATAATAATAATAATAATAATAATAATAATAATAATAATTCCTCAAGGGACCAATGTTTTGATATTTGGCCCGAGTGCCAGCAACATATGTATATACATATTTCCTCTTTTGTTTCTAAAAAGAGCTTTGCATTTTCTTTTTGTTACTAACCAAGACAGCAGCGATACATAAAACGGAAATGTTAAAAACTAGTGTTGAGTGTGTTTGCAATGGGAGGATATCATGTGCTCCGGAGTCACATTTTCTCTACAAGTGCTGCACAAAAAGGGTGTTTGTAAAGAATGATTTGTATCTCAGCTAAGACTCATCACACTAGAGAATGGATCCGCTTTAAATCCGGTTTCTGCCTTCTACAAAATTCTAGGCTTTGTACTTTAGTGAGGCTGTTAAAGGCTCCTCCCTAAACTACAAACTCCAGAATTCTGCAGGAGGCAGCAACCAGATTTAAAGTGGATTCATTCTTTAGTGTGATGAAGCAGTGGGTTTTTGCATACAAAGATTTAGCATATTTTATTTATTTAGGGGAACCCAACGCAGATAGCTTACAAGCTTAAAACAAACTACAAAAAACTTGGATAAAAGTTTTTTTTAAAAAAAAAAACTAACTATCATGGCACTTTTTAAAGCCCTGCTCCTGATGCGAATACAGAAACTGTAAGGAGCAAGTGTACTTCTGTAGTTTAGTGAGCCCTAAGACCTCTCTGGCTGAGAATTCTAAAGGCACTTCCCCAAACTACACATCCCATTGTTCCATAAATGGTTGCCATTGCAGTTAAAGTGGAATGATAGTGGGTTGTTGTAGGTTTTTTCGGGCTATATGGCCATGTTCTGATAGTGCTGTAATAGTGCAATGTGATAGGAACAAAAACCAGACTGTATACAACAGGTACCTGCAGCACACCTATACAGTATAATCCCAATTCACTAGCATTCATAGTGATTGTTAGGTGTCAAATAAACAGTTTCTGGTTGCTTGAGCCTTACTATTAAAAATAGGCCTAACAAATACTGTATCTGATACCACACCATACCATAAACTATGTATTGGCTTGATATTAATATTGAAATACAGTGATTCAAAGCAGATAAAGACAAACGTAATGTAAAATAGCTTTACCATTTTATAAAAACAGCTTATTAAATTTAAAGTATTATGTCTTTGATTTTTTTTGCTGAGAGTTCTGGCTTAACTGAGTCTACTGCAAAAAGCTCAGTAAAAGTGGAACCACATCCCCATCTCTGGTAAATTCGGTACCTCACCTGCATATTACTTTACCTTTAACAAGTGTAGTGTTATTCCAAAAAGGAGATGTAAGGACACAATCAATTTCCCTTGCTGAATATCTTTCAGTTCTTCAGTTCTTAAAGTAGACAGAAGCCTTTGCAAAAGGGAAGAAGAAAAACATGAAATGCACTTGAAAGCAATGCTGCCCTGGCACCTTGTTCCTGAATGGTGTTCCTTGCAGTTGCCTTCTGTGCTGCTTTGGTAAATTTGGATAGTGAAGCAAAGCCAAGCGTGGTATTCCACACAAGAGGCTGCCTTCCTACTCGTCTGACTATAAAGTGGAGAAAAGGGCCTGAACAAATGTGCAGCCGTACCCAAGTGTCCCGGTCAAGTTTGTGTAACTTCGATGAGTGCAATGCTCTGGCTGCAAAAACATTTCCCTCCCCTCTGCTGGTCAATATATAATATTACATTTATTGAAAGAACTGAACTTGTTCTGGTATGTGAAGGAAAAGGGAGGGCATCTACCTTGGAAACTATTTGCACACATTATTGTTTGCCTTCAAAGACATTTCTGATTTATGGCGATACAATCATGGGTTTTTCTTGTTAAGATTTCTACAGAAAGGGTTTGCCATGGCTGCCTTTTGAGGCTGAGAGAGTGTGACTTATCCAAGGCCACCCCGTGGGTATCCTTGGCCACGTAAGCATTTGAACTTTTGTGTCTCAGGGTGCATCTACACTCTAGAATTAATGTAGTTATTTATTATTTATCTATTTACAGTATTTATACCCTGCCCTTCTCACCCCGAAGGGGACTCAGAACAGCTTACAGAACACACATAGGGCAAACATTCAATGCCGATTATACAATTAACAAGGACACACAACACAAACGGAGGTAAAGGCAGTTTTTCCCATCTTATTTCCAGCATATTGGAGGCTGTGCTCAACTCAGTCCACGGAGGGAGTGGGTGCTGTTGCCCCATCTTCCATGCCAAGGAGTTTTTCTCCAATCAATGTCCTTAAGGGCACCTTTATTGTTGTTGTTTATTTGTTCAGTCGCTTCCGACTCTTCGTGACCTCATGGACCAACTCACACCAGAGCTCCCTGTTGGCCGTCACCATCCCTGCTCTTCAGAGTCAAGCCAGTCACTTCAAGGATACCTCCATCGATCATTTGTTACCTCCCTGCTAAAAGCAGTACCTATTTTATCTACTGACATTTCTGCTTTATTTTTTTTATTATAATCTTTATTAAGTTTTCAAGGACATATAAAAATAACATGGGAACACAGGGAGGTGGGGAAAAGGGAGGGTATGGGAGGGGGGTTGAGGTATAACTGTAGACCCTCATTTCTTGATACAAGTATGCGGATGTATCTGCATAACCGAGCATGTATCTTCCAAATACTGACATTTCTGCTTTAGACCTGCTAGGTGGGCAGGCAAGCTGGGGCTAACAATGGTTGCTCATCCCTCCCGGTCTCAAACTGCTAACCTTTCGATTGGCAGGATTTTTCTGCAGCACAGTGGTTTAGCCTGCTGTGCTAAGCACGGCCCCTAGTTTGACATCACTTTCACTGTCATGGCTCTACACTATGAGAGTTGTAATCTAATGAGGCACCAGCACTGGCAGAGAAGGCTAAAGACTTTGTGAAACTGCAACACCGATGATCCCATAGAATTGGGACATGGCAATTAAAGTGGTCTCAAACTCCATTAATTCTACAGTGCAGATGCACCCTCATTCCAACACTCACACTGCTATACCTCATAGGCTCTCATTTACACATGTAGAGCTTTAAAATGCCTGAAGTTGCTTTCTCAGCTCCCATCAGAGTAGAGATGTTTTCAAAGTTTGTGATTTTTCTAAAATTTTCAGACCTGGGGCTGTGAAGAAGCAGCTTTGCCTTTTCTGATATTTGAAGAGAACCATCATGCTTCCCCTTTGGTCTTTTCTTCCTCAGGGCCCTTCCACACAGCCATATAACCCAGAATATCAAGGTAGAAAATCCCACAATATCCATTTTGGATATCTGAGTCCACACTGCCATATATTCCAGTACAAAGCAGATAATGTGGGATTTTATTCAGCTGTGTGGAAGGGGCCTCAGGCTAAAGAAACTGACCACCTCCAACATTTCCTCATAGGAGTTGCTTTACATAACTTTCCTTCTGTGTTCCAGTTTATCTATACTCTACATCTCAAGTCTAGCACCAAGCAACAGACACAGCACTGCAGATAAGAAATGGCTGGTGCTGAATAAAGTACACTGATTAATTCCCTTGGAAACGATTATATGACACTATTGATATGATTTATAAGACCTGCACATTGTAGCTGAGTCACATTCTACCAGCCTGAGATCTTTTTCACTTTTCCTTCTTCCAAACCAAGCAATAATCTCCCAAGATATTTTGTTGCCTGATTCAGAGGACAAAATGGTTCTCTCCTCCCATACCATGTATAGAAAATGCATGCCATCCAACTGTCTTGATTTGGTGGGAATTATTCCAGTCAATCCTCTGTTCTCCTATTTTTCAGCTACTTTACAAATTACCATTTCTCTTTCCTCCTGCTTTCCTCTTTTGTCCTTAACTCATTTCTACTGTTGCAAACTGAAGGTGCACCTACACTGCAGAATTGATGCTATTTGACAACACTTTAACTGGGTTGTTGTAAGTTTTTCGGGCTGTATGGCCATGTTCCAGAAGCATTCTCTCCTGACGTTTTTCCTGCATCTATGGCATGCCTCTTCAGAGGTTGTGAGGTCTGTTGGAAACTAAGAAAATAGGGTTTGTATATCTCTGGAATGTCCAGGGTGGGAGAAAGAACTCTTGTCAGTTGGAGCTAGGTGTGAATGTTTCAATTGGCCACTTTGATTAGCATTTAATGACCTAGCAGTTTCAAGGTGTGGATTACTACCTTACTTACTGCCTGGGGGAATCCTTTGTTGAGAGGTGATTAGCTGCCCCTGATTGTTTCTTGTCTGGAGTTCCTCTGCTTTTGAGTGTTTTTTTTAGTGTTTTTTTAAATGATTTTAGAGTTTTTTAATATTGGTAGGCAGATTTTGTTCATTTTCATGGTTTTCTCCTTTTTGTTGAAATTATCTACATGCTTGTGAATTTCAATGGCTTCTCAGTTTAGCTGACATGATAGTTCTTGCGGTCCAGCATTTCTAAGTTCTCAAATAATATGCTGTATCCAGGTTGGTTCATCAGGTGCTCTGCTATGGCTGACTTCTCTGGTTGAAGTAGTCTGCAGTGCCTTTCGTGTTCCTTGATTTGTGTTTGGGTAATGCTGAGTTTGGTGGTCCCTATGTAGACTTGTCCACAGCTGCATGGTATACGGTAGACTCCTGCCGTAACACTTTAACTGCCAGAGCTCAATGTTATGGAGTTGTTGTTTGATGAGACACCAACCCTTTTTGGCAGAGAAAGCTAAAGACCTTGTAAAATGACAGGTACCATAATTCTACAGCTTTGAGTTATGGCAGTTGAAGTGATGTCAATCGGTGTTGACTCTAAAGAGCTCTTGGGAGCTGTCTGTCCTTCCCCCAGCTCTCCTCTCAGCTCCAGAGAGCTCTCGGCAACAACATGTCTCTGCCTCGGCCCTCCTCTTAGCCTGGAGACGCGGTGGACTGCCACATTCGCATGCGGGAGGAGGGCAGGGGCAGACGTGGGCCAGAGGGAGGGGCCCAAGAGGCTGCATCCAGCTCGCAGGCCAGGGTTTGCCCATGCTCGATATAGCCCAATATATAGGTATGTACTGCCCCATAGAGAGGAGGGGCAGTGGCAAGGAAACAGTTCAATTGTGTTCCTACAGTTGAATGCACTGCTCTCAACAATGACACAATACAGTACAGTACTAAGAAGTTGTGGATGAAAGATGTGATGTTGCTAAATCTTTCTGCTCCAGGATTTCTTAACTATTAAAAATACAGGATGCACTTAACCTCGCAATAATAATAATAATAATAATAATAATAATTATTATTATTATTATTATTATTATATTTATTTTATTAATAATTTCTCTGCAGGATTGCAGAGAAACAACTGGAAAAGCTGACATGATATAAGGATTTTAAGATCGAATTGCAAAGACTTTGGCACAAGCCAGTAAAGGTGGTTCCAGTGGTGATCGGCACACTGGGTGCAATGCACTTAAACACAATCGGCGCTGACAAAATTACCATCTGCTAGCTGCAGAAGGCCACCTTACTGGGATCTGCACGCATTATTCGCCGATACATCACACAGTCCTAGGCACTTGGGAAGTGTCTGATGTGTGATCCAATACAACAGCCAGCAGAGTAATCTTGTCTGCTGTGGACTCATCCTGTTGTGTTTCAAATAATCATAATCATAATCATCATCATCATCTTAATTAAAATGAGAAATAATAATAATAATAATAATAATAATAATAATAATAATAATAATAATTTATTTGTAGCCCGCCCTATCTCCCTCAGGGCAGCTTCCAACATAATAAAGGCAAACATTCAATGCCTGTATAAAACAGAAGTAAGAATATAAACAACAAACAATACAATGCATTACACAATGAATTTTAAAAAGTAATTTAAATAATAATCATTAAATAATTGTCAATTTATTAGCGAGTTGTATATTGTGTTATATATTGTGTTATTATAGAACCATTGATGCAATTATACTCCGGTATTTTGATGACTGTTGATAACATTCCAAAAAAGTATTTTATTTATTTCACATTGTACAAATAGAACAAGACTCTTTTAATGCAAGAGTTTTGGGCTTCAATTCCCAAAAGCCCCAGGCAGTTTGGCCAATAGTAGGGAATTTGGGAGTCTGAAATATCATGAGGACCAAAGTTTGCCAAGCACCACTTTTGATATATCTTGTTCCTACTTTGTGTTTGTTTGATCCTTTTGCTAAAGAAAATGAAATCAAACATAAAGATTTCCCTCTGTACATCACCTTCACTGTCCATTGAAACAAAGAAAACCCATACAGCTTTCCATATGTTTAAAACATTTCCTAGATCAGGATTTCAAGGGGATATACACGTTGATATGGTACGGGAGTCTGTATTTTAATAAACTAGAAATATAGGCAGCCACTTTACCCAGCTGTTCATTTGGAAGTCGGTTTAATTAGTAATAATGTACTGTCCACAAAACTGCAAGAGAGCATAGTCCTTCAACTAGTTTACAAAACAAGAACAAGGCATCAGCTCTGGTGAGAACCATGCACCGAGAGGCTCTCATTTCTTCACTGCCTTTGTCCTTTAACCTGGGAATGCTGGCAGTCTCTTTAGTCTCTTGCTACATAAAAAGGAGGAAGGAAAATGTGGCTGCACTTTCAAGAATTACTGGTTTTTATAGGTTAACATTTTCAATAGGGCTATATATAGCCCATAGCTATATCAAAAGAAGATCTATTTGATAACACATGGAAACCAT